AGAGAGAGAGAGAGAAAGGGGGAAGATTTTTTGAAGCGTGCGTTTGATTGCACATGTTGTATATTTCTTTACATTAATAAATCAATCTTGGACAGTTGTACGCAGATTACAGTACTCTACGTACAGCTGAATGATCTCGATTCTCAGCTTAATCAGCTTAATCAGGATTAAACAACCCTTTTCTCGTAAATTTTTTCCTCAGTTTCTTCCTTGATTTTCCTCTTTTTATTCTAAAGCATCGGCAAAATGATAATACGTTCTTACGTGTATGATCTCATAACTAATCACTTTTATTTCATACAAGCGTGGTCAAATGACAAAAATAAAATAGTGCATAGCCATGGTAAAAATAAAGGAGAAATTCAGTTTGTAGGAGGATTTCAGATTAAGAATAGAGCAAATTTCTCAAGGGACTAAAAATAATTTCAATGCGAAAATATGGTTGTGATCAGTTGAAAAGAATTCCAGTTCCGTTCCGCTCAGATACGATGAGAAAAGAGGAGCAAGAAACGTCGCGGACTCACGAAAATTCATCCAAGGGCGGCGCCGTCGCGAACATCGCGACGCCCACAGCGGCGTCGACGATGCCGGTGGAGGATGATGAAGAGGAGGAAGAGGAGGAAGAGGAGGAGGAGGACGCTGAGGAAGAAGAGGAGGAGGGAGACGAGGAGGGCGAAATCGCAGTGGAGGGTGGAATGTCGACGCAAGAAGAGGTCGGGGGTGTGTTGGCTGGTAGTGAAGGTGGGGGTGGAGGCGGCATGGCCGGCTACTGGAGGCAGAGCAGACCCTCCAGTCCCCGCATGCCGCCTCCGGAGCAGTCGGAGCAGCCGAGCCGACCCAAGAGCCGGCACGAGCTACAAGCCGCGAGATATAACAATCTCGGCTACTGGCGAGCGAGAAGAGTTACCTTTTACAAAAATGGCGATCCCTACTTTCCTGGTGTGGAGTTCAGGTAAGCGTTAACTTTGGTCTCGTTAGCTAAATTACAATTAACCTAAACTGAAAGAGATATTTGTTGAATTTCTCACTGTTTATTGATGATATATTTATTATATATGTAATTATATAATGTAATTATTTCACGCAATAATAATTTTAAGGTTAAGATTATATTATAAAAATATATATATTCTACATTTCTCTCCTCATCAATCGGAGAATACATCGAAAAATATAAGGTTAATCTTTTATTTTTCCATTAATTTATTGTCGTTTTGCATTTTTTATTTTGTATAAATGATTTTTGTTTTGATTAACGATTAATTGTTTACGTAATTTTTTCAATGTTGAATTTTATACAGAAATTAGATTGGATATAAGTACGATGTAAATAGAGAACGAATTTTATATAGGTATGCGGTATATATGTACATGTGTATGTATGTGTGATACATATTTTCGTGCACGCGCGCGCATACACACACACACACACACACACACACACACACACACGTGCGCGTGCACGATACACATACGCATAAAAAAAGATATTGAACACAATACATTTTTCGTAAAATATTTCGTAAACAACAATGTCAATAGAAAATGCAATGAAATGTGTAATTATCTTGTGTAATTATTGTATCAGTGATATCGCATCGAATCTATAATAAAAATTGTGACAAAAACATAACTTAAAGATTATTCTTTACATTATTTTAAAGAATTTACTCTCTTTCCAATATTTTTAGATTCAAACCTGGCCGTGACATTGGTTCTCTGGAGGCTCTATTGGATAGATTATCTCTTCGAATGGACTTGCCTAGAGGCGCACGTCACATTTTCTCGATGGATGGAGACCGAAAGATCAATCTCGACGAACTCGAAGACGGCGCCTCTTACGTAGTGTCTAGCTATAAGACATTTAAGGTAAGACAAAACTTGATTGTAACATGCTTGTTGATTTGAAGTCATTAAATATAATTTTTCATAAATGATATAATTGTAGACTTTGTTTACAATAAATTGATAGTCCATGTTATCTTGATAAAAAAATATGAGAACATATTTTATGAATAGTGAAAATATATATTAATCATACCAGATTAAAACACTAGTTGGTAACAACCTTGATTCGTGAACTTGACTGGCGTTGTAAACATGTATGTTTTTAAAGCACGATCATCTCCATCGCACTACGAATGCGGATATTCTGACATTTCTTTTCTTTTCCTCAGCAAAATGTATGAAAAATAAAATGTTTTTATGATAAATACAAAAATCTGTTAAATTCTTACCGTTTTTAAAATTTTTACTATTTTATTTTTTCTACAGTCAATAAATATTTTTTCTACAGTCAATAAATGATAGTAACAATAAAATATAGTAAAAATAGTAAAAATAAATCAATATGCTGATGAATAGTAATAGTTGATTAATAGTAATTAATAGTGATTAATAGTAGTAGTAGTAGTAGTAATGATGATGATGATGATGATGATGATGATGATGATGATGATGATGATGATGATGATGATGATGATGATGATGATGATGATGATGATGATGATGGTGATGATAATGATGATGATGATGATGATACTCAAACTACAAAAAGTATTAATAAAATACAGAATACAAAGAAGTAGATTCATATGCCATATATTTTTCCTTATAATCTATCTCACTAAGGAAAAGAAAGTCATGCAATGAAATGAACAAAGAATGAAGAAAGAGAAGTAAAATATTAAGCTTTCTCCCGTTCTTGTATGCATAAGTAAATGATATTAATAACTGATTATCAATAACGCATACTGTCATTATCGCTATCGTATGTGTATGCAGAGTAAATAATTACGATTAATATTTTTAAAGAGACATCGAGACATGCAAATAACATTTTATACAAAAAATATCAAGAATTAAAATAGAATAAAAAAAGTATTATTTGCTCGCTAACATTACATCTTACATACAGAGTACACATTTTAGTGTACTATAAACATATATCGGAATATAGATCTTTTTAAATAACTTTTAAACGGACGCGATGCAACGGCAATTTATAAGAATGTTGACGACGACGACAATGATGACGACGACGACGACGACAACGACGACGACGACGACAACGGCGCAGGCAATGGTGCTGTGTATATCTGGCCCAGATCAACTTCTTAAAGCAGGCCGCACGCAATGTAAAATTGTATTTAAAAACTCTTTCTCTTTTTCTTATAACGTCATAATGATATAGTTATATAGATTTATGATATATATATATATATATATATATATATATATATATAGTATATATATAT